CAGTCCCCAACGTAGTCGCGACTCCTAAAGTTCCGCGTGGAGCCAATGTCTACGAAGGCACCACACTTGCAGCCACCTACACTGACTTCCACAATGGAATGCTCCCCTCTATGACCTCTTGACAGTGCCACCCAAGACTTACGAGGGTCCCTTGCCGACCAGTCGGTTTCTAAGTATTCTAAGGCTTCAGACGCATCTAATGAACAGAGAGTCGTTTGGTCAAGATGCGTTTGCAGGGTGACGAATGAGTTAATAGCCTCGGCCAACTCCTGAAGTGGTGAGGGTACACCATCCACTTCAGCATGAGTAGAAACAACTACAACTTCTACTGGCCAAATGTGTTTCCCTGGGTTGTGCTCGTAGAAGCACCACCCTGGGCAGAAGATCCCCAAAACCACCTTTGGGAGGGATCTTCTGAGAGACCTTCGCGTTCTTGCGTTTGAACTGCTGATGGCCATACTCGCTGCAGTTGATGCAAGTTCCTTGCAAATACCGGTCCCTCCACACATCCTGATCGAGGCCAGCGCTCACCCAAGCCGGAGTCTTGTTTGAGTTATGGACCTGCCCCTGACTCTTTTGCTGGCCGCCCTTGCCACGACCAGCAGCCTTTCCTTTGGTTATTGCAGTGAGATTGCCACCCTCTGCACTCTCCTCATTGCCTAACTTTGTTTCTTCCACAAGATTGGAAAGGTCATCGATCTCGGTTTGATTCCCATCGGAATCAACCGTCGTCAATCGACTACCCTTTTTCTTCCACTCTTGTGGAACCTTCTTCTTCCTCCCATCTACGACTATCTGCTGAGGCCCTCCCAACTTTGCCTCTAAATCTAAGGCCTTGTTGCTAAATGTCTCGAGGGTGTGATATTCGATGGTGGCCTCACTAACCATCAGATTCTTAATGTCTGTGTGAAGACATCTCAAGAACATGGTTAGGAGGACTTGGGGATCATAGCGGACTCCCAAAACTACAACCAGTTTCTCTACGGCACTGGTGAGGTCACGCACGGTCTTGTACGTCGTAGTATCAAGACGGGCCAGTGCATCGGTGGCTTGCTGAGCCTGTTGAGGGTTGTGCCATCACGCCTCCACCAAGTCCATAAAGCTCTCCAAAGTCTGGGTCTGTGCCCAGTAGTTCATCCGCCTGGCCAATCCCTTTGCCGCTACATACCCATTCAGCCATCTCGCTGCCGATCCTTCTAAGTAAGAAGCAGTGGTGATCACCTCCTCCTCACGCAAAGTACGCTTGGCCCACACCCACAATGAAACCAAGTGTCGAGGGCCTCGTCCTTGTCTCCTGTGAAGAGAGTCGAGGGTTTCATTGGGGTCTTGGGGTACCAAGGTTGTTGTGGTTCAGTCTGCCCGGCTTGCTGAGTCGGGGGCTGGACCGGCTGCTGCCCTGTAGCTGCAGCAGCTGTACCTGAGCATGAAGAAGCAACAGTCTGTGCTGCTGCTGCTGACGTACCACCTGGTGAGACGCCATAAAGAGGGACAAATGGGCCTGTCATCGCCGGTAAAGGAACTGGCGATGGAAGTGTTGCCTGAGGCCGGATATTGGGCCCACCTGGTATGGAGGGGTGTGGCCCTCCTCTTCCCTGCATGACATTCAGTATCTAGTCAAGGGTATCCTGGATGTCATCCAGTTTGATGTCTATGTATGCATACATGCTCAGCATGCCCGCCTTGATAATTTTTGTCGTGTCGTCAAGGGTCGAGTCATGTAACCCTTCTAACGCAGCTCTGTCTGCCCTTCTGTTCTCTAACCTGGTTTTTCTATTTCTAATACCTGTTTCCCTTTCGGTAGCTTGTCTAAGTTGCTTCTCTAACCGTAAGCGGATCAACTCCACCTATTGGAGTTCTATTGCCTCCTTTGTGGGTAAAGGTGGCTGGCTGTACCGCGAGCCCGCCATCTGACTGGAAGAAGTGCCTACACTCGTCCCGCCAGACGTAGCCTGCGAACAGGACGGCATGCCTAATGTCTGCTGACCTGAGGCATAGCTCCAGCAATGGCTACTGTCGCTGCCAGTACTTGCTCCGCTGCTGCCGCTGCTTCCCTAGCCCTTCGCAAACATTCGGCAGTTGCCTCCCGTCGTATAGCTCTCTCGCCCTCAGGTGGTAAGGCTTGATGCATGATGGGGATCCTAAGAGATTCCTGTTGTGTCACCCTTCTCCCTTCAGATTCGGCCTCCCCACTACCTTGTCCGATCATCGGCTAAGCAGATCACTGTCTCCACCAGTGCCCTCACTAGGCCTACCACAACTTTTGTCTGACCGATTTGAAAAATAAATAAAAATAAATAAATATTCAGCAAGTCACCCAGGCTACCAATCAAGTGGTGTCAACAGCATTTACACAAACTGAGCAAGTGATCTATTCCTACTTTGATCAGTTCTCAAACAGCATCTATATATAGAACAGGCAATGGTAGACTATTACTGTTCAATTCTATAGCTGTCTGTCAGGTGTTAGCAGTCTGTCCACCTTAACTAATCAGAATAGAAATAAATCAGTTGCGCAGATGTACGCAGAAATGCAAAATAATATGATTGTGTACGAGCACCAATTGGAACCTTCCCTTTCCTGTATCCGATGATCCTGTGTTGCATCATCAAGCAACAGTGTCTAAGGTGTGCATATCGGCCCACCCCTGTGCCCAGGAAACCATTTATGACCAGCCCTGCACTTTCTTTATTTCGCCTGCAACGAGCCTTACACCGGCAGCCTGGCTGATCAAGAGGCAATTTAAGGACAGGGCATGAAGTCTTCAGGAATTATTTAACGTCGCAGACAGGACGCCGATCACAGCCAGGTGTCGGTTTCCCCACTAGAGGTTCTTTATAGACGGTCTGGTACACGTCTCCCCCACATAGGACTGGTCAGTCCACGACCCCCTCTACAGCACAGGAAAGAGCTCAAAGGACAATGCAGAATGGCCTGCGTGCACTACTCCTGTGGGTTGGCATGGTGACCATGACCCGTGCTTCGTCCCAGGCACTTCAGAGGCACCACCCTCTCCTGCCAGATGCGCCACCAGGAAGAATTTTGACTCTCAAGGTAGAGTGCTCATGACTCCCGAACCAGAAGAGGACACTCAAGTTGAACTCACTTCCTCTCGGTAAGAAGAGATTGAGATGGGAAGATAAGGTAGGGAACAACATACCTGAAGATAGCTGCCCCCAACCGGAGATTTCTCACCAATTGTGCAAACATGCATTTTGATGACCGCTCATAGGCTCGGTATCACACACAATGCAATGGAGTGCCACCTCAGCCAAAATGCAATGTCAGCATGCTCTCATCCTTTCACATACATCCGCTGTCGTCACAGCCTTCGAGTGACGCTCCCCTTTACCGGGGAGTTGCTAACCAAGCCAGCGCTAATGTACTCTCACTGCGTAGAAGCTTCGTAAGTGCACCGAGTAACAAAGTCGCCAACGCTGGTAACGGCGATATCGAACCAGCTCTGATACCAAATTGCAAGAAATATGCGTGAGAGCGATAGACAGAAATCCGAATTGCAAAATCAATAAGTAGCCTAGAAAGTCATGTACCAAGCAGAGAGCACAATGCACCAATATACCATCCAAATAAGAGCAATATGATGAACTCGTATGTCAATGTCGACGCTCTCTGGCCGCACCAACACAGTATCCAATGTCCCTGCTACCGATTGGCGCCCAGCACCCGGCCTACACTACTCAGCCTTTCTAGCCTATCTACATTCATGCAACAGGATTACATCGGAGTTCAAGACCAATGTATTTGACGCCATCAGCAATGCAGACCGCCAGCATACACCAGGTACATTCTCTTTCCTCCCCTCATCAGACCCTGTCTCCCCTCTGCATACACCTCCTACCCGAAGACCTTCGCCATCACCTGCCACCGCATGTGCAGCCTGGCTATGGCCACCGTGCGCCCGCTGCCACCGTAGCGCCCACTCACCTCTCAGCGCCCGCGTGCGCCCAAGTTTGCCTGCTTAGCGCAGCAGTGTGGCCGCATGGCCTTTGCAGGCCAGAATGCCGTGCCCCTGGGCACTCACTTTCCTATATGGAAAGTGTGCCCTTGCCGCTGGCTGTTCTGGGTCAGGTGTGTAGGGGCCCAGTAGCTTCAGGCTGGCCCAAAGTGTCTGTGCCCAGGTCCAGTTTCAGATACTGGCCTGGGCCTCGTGGAGTTAGGCACGTTCAGGTAGCCCTCCAGGCTCCAAGTGTTTGCCACATTCTCATTGGCTTGCCGTAGATGTGTGAAGACAATGCTGCATTCTCATTGGTCTGCGGCCTCTGAGTGATGTGTCGGCCTCTCACTGCGTGTGCCCAGGGGCTCAACCGAATGAGCCCTGGGCTCAACTGTACAACGCAGCTGCTGCTTCTGAAAGGAGCCAGGGAAAGCTCGCATTGCTCTGTAACCAACTGGCGTGCTGCAACTGTCTGGTACCCCACGTACGAAAAATGTCGAAAATAGGCCTCTCGTGGATGTACAGGCCCGCCTTCACTTACGGCGGGCACGAGCCTTGCTGGGGGGCTGGGCCCAGAACGTTTGCATAGCCTCAAAGGGCCTTGCGAAGGGATCATTCCCTGCAATTCCAGCTTTTCTGTTTTCATTGTCACTTCCAGTATTAGCAGGTGCTATTAGCCTATTACTATGCCTATTAACTGATATAAATTTCAATACCACTTTTTTTTTTATCCCACACGATGAGGAGTCCTGTTTTATTTAAACATCTGTTTTGGTTCTTTGGCCGGGATGGCCACCTTGGAGAGTGATCTCTAAAGAAAAAGGTTGCCGTTTGCTGGAACACATCAATTCCATTTTACTCCAGGACTTTGCAGATAAACTTCAGCACACTAAAGTGTTTGTGGTTTGGCAATTAGCTCTATTGCTCAGACTGGTTGGATGGTATAACGGGAGGTAGGTCTTGCAAACTCCTTTCAGACGAGTATAAAACCGAAAAAGGGAGGACTGGAAAGAGGGAAGGGCCAACCTGTGAGCTCACTTCTCTTACCCAAAGGTGCCGGCTAGCCTTGTTGTTACATGAGTTTCAGACATTTCAATGTCTCTTGACATGCCAAAGTCTGCCACTTTTGCTGTCATATCCTTATCCAGAAGAATATTGCCAGGCTTGATGTCACGATGGATGATTGGGGGACTCTGCAAGAAGACGAAAAAAATAGTACGGTCACACTTTTAGGTCATGCAATAATCCTGCTCAATTCATAATGCAAGACAACTTTGAGACCATGTCATACATTAAAACTCAAGAATAAGTGGAAGAGGAGAAGAATGACGGAAGAAAGAAGAAGAACACAAGATTGAACCACTGACATCTCCCTCCTCTCGCTAACCTCATGAACCAATAAGAAATGAATGAATGAACAAGAACCGACCTCACCGGATCCCACTGCATAGGGTTCATTGGCACCCATAGCCCCTCTCTTCTGCTGCGTCTGAGATTCTCACTGGCAGCTATATCCCCTGGAGTTCACAACGCCTTTCATATATCTTCATGCTCGTTGGTTTCCCTATCGCTGCTGCTGCTCTGCTTCCCCCTCTCTCTCCTTCCTGAACGTCTAGGAGTGAAGCCGCAATACTACTAAGTTCAACACACTTCGCAACGGTCGCTCAAGCGAGTATTGAGTGTATGGACATGAAGGATGGGTTGCTTATCGAGAAGAAACCAGTGTCGTCTGGCATCAAGGTGGCGGAACCCAGCCCTCTGGGCCTGATTGTCTTAGCCCTCACCACCTTCACCATGTTGACGTTCACCACGGGGCTGCTGCGGACTTCTACCAGCAACGCGGGCTTGGCGATGGGCTACTTCTTCAAAGGGGTAGGCATGCTTCTTGTGGGGATGTGGGTGTTCTTCGCCGGAGCACCCTTGGTGCCACAGCCTACAGCTCCTACGACTTCTACTTCCTGGTGTGCACATTCTACATGGTGGAGATAGCAAAAGACATGGTGAACCCCGATGAGACCCATGTAGCCATGGATGTGTTCCTGCTGAGAAGGAGGATCTTTACGATCTGCCTGACCATCATATCATGCCAGACGTTCCGCTCTGTTCATCATGTTCGTCTTCCTATCGCTCAATTACTTCATAAGGCGAGTTCCTCGTTTTCGACATCTCAATAAGGCGTGCGTGATCAACGTGTTTTGGCAATCCATTTATTTATTTATTTACCTAATTTTCGGATGTTCCTTTTTCTTTTTCGTTTTACTTTTCCTTTCTTTCCCGAGGCTCGTACGTCAGGCGGGAAACCGCAGATAGCGAGCTAGAGAATTTTGGAGTCCAGTGGTAGACGGGTGATAGCGGATGGTAATAGTATATTACACATGGGAGTGTATGCCCTAATTCAGACTGAGTAGTCAGAGGTAGGTGGTCTGTCGCGCAGTTGTTGATGTGCTGAATCTGCTGATGATGTAGTTACGCTGTGATACTAAAACCTCTAACTACATTATGTTTTGAGTTTATCAATCTCTATTGAACTAGATGGACGACCTTGCAGTTGCGCGTGGGAGCGCTCACCTAGTGCCGCATAGTCCTTGTGACTGGACATATGCTACTATGCCACTTGAGGATACTATGCGTGCGTAATCATCAAGCTTCACCCTTTTTTTTTTGTTTTCCTTTTTTCATTTATCTTTACAGATACTATTCGCTCTTTAATCGTTCATTATTGATCATTACCATTTTTTCGATGCGTGCAAGTGGGAGCTGCGAGATCGCACCAAGGTCTCAAGGAATCGAAATGTATTACCATATGCCAGGCGAGTAACATCGAGCATTTTTTGGCGTAGCTACTGCAAGCTGAAGACTTCAAGTTTCAAAGATTCTCACTGTATGAACGACAGGGGAAGGTTCTAGACGGACTAACAGACACCGCCGGTCTTGACTCCGGCGTCTGGTCTGGTACAGCCAACACCCAACACCGCACAGGATGCGCGCGTACCACCTGAGTATTCTCCACCACCCATGCTCCAGCCATATTCGTACAGATGGACTCCACCGCCTCCTCCTCCTCCAGCGCATGGAGGATGGAACTATGGACAGTCGGGTTACCACGATTTGCCGCAGAAACCTGCTGCAAACTCTTTTCCTGCTCAAAGGGGGAGCGTCGGGTTACCATGATTTGCCACAGACATCAAGAACTTGATGGTCAGTGAGGCGAGCATCGACTATCACAATCTTGACTCCTTCAGCAAGAAGGCCTTGGACTTAGAGGCTAAGCTAGGAGGGGCACAACAACCCCCGATGGATGGGAGGAAGAAGAAGCCACCACAAGAATGGAAGAAGAAAGGAAATCGATTGATGATGGTTGATCCTGACGGGACTCGAACCAAGATCGACAATCTTTCCGATCTTGTGGAGGACACTGAGTTAGGTGGCGAGAAGAGTGCTGAGGGTAGGAACCTCACTGCCATTACCAAAGGTAAGGCAGCTGGCCCCGGCAAGGGCGGTCAACAAAAGAGTCAGGGGCACGCCCAAAACTCAAACAAGACTCCGGCTTGGGTGAGGGCGGGCCTGGGACAAGATGTGTGGAGGCATCGGTATTCGCGAGGAGCTTACATTGACTGCAGCGAGTATGGCCATCAGCAGTTCAAATGCAAGAACGTGAAAGTCTCTCAGAAGATAGCTCCCAAAGGTGGTTTTGGGGGATCCTTCTCTCAAAGTGGGACTTCTACGAGTTCCACCTCGGGAAACACGTTGGGCCAGTAGAAGTTATGACTGCTTCTACTTATGCTGAGGTGGTTAACGTAACCTCACCACTTCAGGAGTTGGCCGAAGCCATTGACTCACTAGTCACCCCGCAGATACATTCGAACCAAACGACACTCTGTTCGTTGGATGTATTTGAATCCTTAGAAAACTTAGAAACTGGGTGGTCGACAAGGGACTCTGCCGAGTCTTGGGTGGTATTGTCCAGAGGTCCTAGAGGGGAGCACTTCGTTGTGGAAGTCGGTATACGTGGCCGCAAGTGTGGTGCCTTTGTGGACATCGGCTCCACGCGGAACTTCATAAGTCGCGATTGCGTTGAGAGACTGCGCCTAGGGGACCGCGTGCAGCGGTTGAGTAGACCTGTAGCATCTACCCTGGCCAACAACGAGCGCATGGTTGTCAATGACTACATCAAGGTTGTAGTTTGCACTTTCTATTATGGAGGTGGGGAACTGAATCATCATATTTTGTTCCTTGTTAGCGACGACGTACCATTTGACATGTTGTTAGATATGTACTACCTCGAGGTTGCTAAGCCCCCGTTCGACTGAGACCGAAAGGTGCTTAAGCATGTACTACCGGAAGGGAGGACAGTTAGACTTGCCAAGTATGAGGCTAGTAGTCTGATAGACACTTACGATTGCATGTGCACATTAGCATTTTATAACTTGTCTCTGAGAAAGGGGAGGCCGTTAAATCACCCCCAAAGATAGAAGCAGTCGTTGCTAAGTACCCTGATCTGTTTGAGGAGCCTTCAGGAGCTGTAGACATGGAGATAGTCCATGCCATATAGATCATCCTAGGTAGCAAGACACCAAAGGGAAGATTCTATAGGATGGCTCCAACTGAGTTGGACGAGCTTCATCGACAACTGAACGAGCTCACAGGGAAGGGGTGGATCCGGCCTAGTACCTCCCCCTTCGGCTCACCAGTTCTATTTGTCCCAAAGAAGGGGGTGACAATAAGGATGTGCATTGATTATAGAGGACTCAATGCCATCACTGTTAAAAACGCAGAGCCTCTACCGCACATCGACGACCTACTGGATAGGGTGCAGGGACGTAAGTACTTCACAAAGATAACAGATGTTGTATCATGTGGTATTTTTCCACTATTTTACGTCACTCTCCGGCCAAAATGTACGCAGCAAAACTCAAACGTGGAACTAGAGCTCAAGTATTCAAGATCGCAGGAAGGGATCTGGGTAAACGTTTAAGTGTGAAACCAGACAAAATTCCGCTTCGGATCACTGACCAAACTGTAGAAGATTGGGAAAAATCAGTGAGTGGAAAAGGCACTCCCAAGCAACCGTCAGGGGCCTGCCTATGCTGCGATGCTTAGTAGACTCCTGCACCTTTAAAAGAGAGCTGGCAACTCTCTGAATTCGAGCGGAAAGGTACAGGAAAGAAAGCCACGACGAACTATTGAACAAGTGTAAGCTTCGCTACTCGAACGTTATGAGTACTGACCACACTTAAGGGCAGATGGAGAGGCCACTGGGCCGTCAATTTAAACTTGAAATTTGGCTACCATCAGCTTGCCATTAGACCAGAGGACCAACACAAAACCGCTTTTCAGACCAGGTACGGTTTGTACAAGTTTGTGGTGATGCCCTTTGGCCTTTGCAATGCGCCGAGTACATTCCAGCACGCCATGAATATGATATTCCACGACTACTTGGATAAGTTTATCGTCGTGTACATCGACGAAATTCGTATCTTCGGCAGAACCGTCGAGGAGCATGCCCAGCATGTAGAAACAATACTCTCACTCCTGCGACAACACAAGTATAATATCAATTTGGGGAAATGTGAGTTCAGTCGCACTAAAAACTTGTACTTGCGACATGAGATATCCGAGAAAGAGATTAGGCCTGAAGGTGCAAAGGTGGCTAGCATTCCTGACTCGCCATAACCTCAGTTTGTGACCGAGGTCAGATCATTATGAGGGATGTATGGCTACTAACGCAACTCTGTGAAGAACTATAGTACGGTTGCCCCTTTGACTGATCTAACACGCCTTGACACTCCATGGGAATGGACGGACGCATGTGAGGCTGCTTTCAAAAGATTAAAGTACGCCCTCACACATCATGAGATTCTTATGGTCCCCGATCCGGGGAGGCCATTTGTTGTGACCACTGACGCAAGCCAATATGGCATTGGTGCAGTGCTGGACCAACAGGAAGGAAAAAAGTTGAGGCCGATCGAGTACATGAGTAAGAAGATGTCATCTAAGAAGTTGGCGAAGTCCAAGGGAACTGTATGCTCTTTACAAGGCTCTAGTCCACTGGAGGCACTATCTGTTGGGAAGGTTTTTTTACTTGAGAACTGACCATCAGACACTCAAGTGGATCAAGGCAACCTATTCTCTCTGACGTACTCAAACGCTGGATTGAAGTCATTGATCAGTATGACTTCAAGGTAGACTATGT